TGAACATAGAAGTAACGATATTTAATAGAAATTCACGTCTTCATGTCTTTCCATATCTTTTTCTTTTCACTATTTATGTCGTTTTCTCCACCCCACACAGACCACGGAGAGGAACTGTCGTATCCACACCACAAAAGCATTCAAACCGGAGGGTCACCTTGGCCGCTTTGGCTTATCCTTTACACAGCTTACGGATACCGAACATCCTGTTGTTTGAGCTCACCTTTTTTCTCGGTCGTTTTACAGTAGTTTCTAGCGCTCTTTTATGGTCTTTGGGTTATATGCTGTTGTTTCGCCTTGAATGGGTAGTTCAGAGAAAGCTTCTTTTTTTTTTTGGTGTTTTGATGTTTTTTAAGTGCTATTTGGTAACTTTTTTTCACTTAGCGTTCGATTTAGACGTTTAAATGTGACACGCATTTTTTCCTCCTTTTTATCTCGTTTGCGTGAGACAGTGGACATCCGGTGGGAGATTAGTACTCCTGTTTTAACTAAAGTTTCAAATAGTTGTGTTTACGTGGGTGAGTAGGGCATGTGTTGTGTGTGTAAGTCCGTATGTGTGCTTGTATGTTTGCTTGTTTGTGTGTATATGCTTGAATGTGTGTGCGTGTGCGTGTGTTAATATTTATGTATATGTACGTAGGCAGGCGTATGGGCTGTACCTGCAGTATTTTCCTTTTGAAGAACTTCACACACACTTCATGAACCAAACTCTAGCTTTCGTCCAACTTCATAACCAGCGAGTATGAAAAGAAGGAAAAAGGAACAGCAAGTGCTGCAAGCGGTCACGCATGCACAAGCAAGCACTTAAAAGTTTGCACAGAGTTAGTGAACAACAAGTGATTTACCCAGTGCGCGGTCATAGCCCTTCGCACACAAACATTTTCATATATATATAGCTGTTGCCAAAGCGGTAAAAAAAATGTATATCTAAGTATTAATATTATAACATCGACAATAATAATAACAATAATAGTAGTTGTGGTAGTAATAATGATAATGATAATGATGATAAGACAAATAAAATTTATAATAATGGTAATAACCACAAAAACAATAATGATAATAGTAAAACAATGATGAATATGATGATGGTGGTGATGATGATAATAATAGTGGATGGTAATAAGACACACACACACGCACACGCCCACACACACACACACACACACCACACACACCACACACACAACACACACACACACACACACACACACACACACAACACACACATATATATATATATATATATATTATATATATATATATATATATATATATATATATATATATATATATACTGCGAACGCATTACAGACTAGCCTTTCCATTTGCATAAACGCAACTTAAAGACCTTTTTTCTTGAGGGATTTCCCACTTAAAAAATAATGCGATAGAGAAAACATGGCACTGACATTTACTTTACGATGTGTAAAGACTTTAATGACCTCTACTTCTAAGGTCTGAAGTATCAACAAAGCAAACACATTTAGCTATAAGTGGTGTAGGGTTTAGCGAAGAATATTATTTATTCATAAAGAAATGGTTTATAAAATTTAGTTTTTGGCCATAACTTCAAAACTAAAATGCTTTTATAGAATGACGACAATCAGGAGTGTGCAGAGAGTGATTATGATTTAGAAGACATTGATATTAATAACTGATGGCAAAAAAGTGTAGATAATCTTGTTGTAACAAACCCAGATGGAAGAACACATGCACTAAAATGCCATCGTATGTTTAACAGTTCATAAAAATGATCGTATTGCTTATAAAGGCCAACACTTTTCATAATGTTTTTTTCGCTCCACAAAAGCTTTGGAACAAAATTTTTAGCTACTCATTTTTATGCATCAACATCAGTAGTATGTAAATCCGAAATGGACTACATGTGTGGAGAGCGACCGTTGGGGAGAATTTTGAAATATCTCCATTTTCTTTACCGTTTTATCACTTCCTGTGAAATGAACGCTGGTGAACCTTTTATCTCTTTTATAACTTTTTTTTCTTTCTCTCTCTCTCTCGTTTTTTTTTTCATTTTTTTACTTTTACTTTTAACCTGTGATAGTGATTTTTTTATGCAGAGGATTAAAGAGAATGGATGATTGATGAAAGGTGAAAAATACTGATCATTGTAGTTAAAAGAAAAAGATATTCTCCGTTTCCGAAATAATTTGAAGATTTGTGACTATGCATTCGTCTTGCACTCAGCAACCGTGAAGAAGGAAACAAAAACACGAATGATAAAAAATAGAAAGTGAGAAATAACCGTTTATATTTGCATACGTTTGTATAATGAAGAATGGGAATGAGTGGCAAGTTGAGAAAGGTAATAAACGTGTGTATGTGTGCGTGCGTGCGTGTATCTTGTCTTTCAGTCACTGAAAAAGAAATCAAAATGTACCTCCTTTATTTGCCTTCACGGAGCGCCAATATAGTTCCCAAAGATTATCGCTGTGATATCAAAATTACACACATACACAGATATATAAATGTACATATG